CCAAGTCAAGTCAGTCCAATAGAAAACAAACACAATAAAAACTGTATATTAGTGCAATGGAAATTGATGGATGGACAGACCCCTTGCGATTGGTTAAGAATTTGCCCCCAAGGCCAAGCTGCACAGCACACTCATGTTGTTAAATAATAAAGCGCCGCCCCTGTCTGGTTTGGAATTTCTCCTTCATAAAACCTCCTTCACACGTTCGTTGTCTGGGGAATATTATTCCACTTACACTCCTTCTTGGCCCTTGAGCAGTGCTCCCCACGTTCCCTACAATAACCTCCTTTGCTTCTTGACTCCGGCGCTCACTCGTTCGCGTACCGAGTCTTGAATTCTCAGTTACTCCTTTATCCCAGTCATTCAACCTTGGTCTACCTTGCGCAACTATCGCAGTTTACCGTACCGGTTCCAATATCACGGTTACACACCTTGCTCTCTTGCGCATTGCGTTCCCAATCCTTGACATCGGATAAGGATAGCTTGATTGATTCATACGAATATAGCGCTGTCGCGTGCTCAACATCGATCTCCTAAGTGTTTATAAACCCAGTGATCCATACCGTCAATATGAAGATCAACGCCATCGTCTCGTCCGTGCTCTGCCTGGCTGCGGCCCAGCTTGTCGCCGCAGATACCGTCACTTCGACCTATACCCACACCATCACCAAGACGCTGGTTCGCGTGACTACGGAAATCCCAGGAGCCTCCGCAAGCGTCAGCTCCTATGTCATTCCCTCGACCGCTGCTACTCCTTCTAGCAGAAGGATTGCCAGCAGCAGTGCTGCTGCCACTTCGACTCCTGCGTCCAGCACCCCGTCCGCATCTGCCGTCGTGAATCATTCCGGAGCGGGAAGTGTTGCTGATGTTAGTATGCCTGTCGCGCTTGTCGCCGGGTCCGTTGCCCTCCTTCTGGGTGCTGCACTGTAATTGAATGAACAGCCATCCGACTTCGTTTGCGTTACAGAGAAGTACAATGCAAGAGCTGGACTTGATCAACATTGCGCTCGTCGCACCCATTCAGCTTGCGGACGAGCTCATCGAATTCTCTTCTGCGCGGAAGTGAAATGCAGGTGATGCCGTCATGGTATATCACCTTGTTACCTTCGACTGCGCTCTTCGAATATATTTATTCCTTTGATTCTTCTTTTCTCCTTACAACTTCTTCTTCCCCCTCGTCTGAGATTTTACGATTTGAAGCATGAGGCAGGTGGTCGAGGCGCTTTGGATTCATATACCCCTTTTTACGACTTCTTCTACGAGTTGATGGTGATTATTCCCCTTTTACCTCCATGATGTCTACCGGTCATCCGGTTATGATCACGGAGTTTTGGTTTCATTCGACCTGCGAGGTGGTTTGTTGAGCTTGGAGGATACTATTATGATGCATATAGCGTAGTACATAGGCCAAATCAATAGCAATTTAAAGCTGCCTGTCAAGATGCATTTTTTCTTCAATAGATAAACCGTCGGCCTTGTTTCGTTTGATTGCATTTCTGCTAATCTCATGTTACACCACTAGAATGGTGACACACAGGTTATAATTACCAGTGCATCAGATCGATAAGATCAATTCCCCATGTTGAGCTTTAGATAATATAGTTCGCCGATCAAAATGAACATGCTCGATGCTCAATGCTTAATGCCTCCCCCTCCCCCGTCTGATCGCCAAGTGGAGTCCAACGAGGAACACCCGGCCTGATTGGCAGAGCGCGTGGAGGTGGAAGCCGACGCGTGCGCCGTTTCCAGTAAACAGTCGACTGACCACTGGTAGACCGTCACCTGTCGGACAGATTATCTGATTCCACATTCTTGCAGACGTCATGGCTTCGGCACGCCTGACCTGAGATTCTCCCTCGTGGTCTCGATTGCGCCTGCTCGCTAAGGTCTGTTGACGTTCGTCGCATATTCGCTTCCCCACTGCGGAGGTGACGCGCCACAGTCCAAAACAAGCGGCGTGATCGCAGGGAACAAAGATTTCATCTCATTGTTTTTCACTAGGTAATAACCAATTGTTGAAATATACTGAGAAAAGAGTTGCGCCCAGCATGGATAGCGAAGTCCCTCTTCCCCCGCCGCGACGAATCCGGCACCGCTCCCCCGCCGATGCCAGTTCCTCCGCTGCGAAACCTCCATCAGGCTCCTCGTTCAAAAAGACATACCGACTCTCGCGTTTTGATGACCGCTCCAGCCAGCCGTCCAGTGATCCTGCGCTCTTCTCCAGCGATGATATCCCTGCGTCTGGTCTCGAAAACTACAACCCCCCCGTCTCCTCTGGAGCTGCAGCTGGCAGGAAACGACGCTACCGGGGCACCTGGTGGGGAGAGATGGCAGTCGATCCGAAGCGGAAGAGGGCAGATTTTAAGGATAAGCGGCTTGTGGATAGCGGTGTGTGGATGGGGAGTGATGAGTCGACGGCGGAGTCGCTTTTGCCGTCCGAGGATGCGTTGATGTGGGGGGAGGACTTGATGAGGAATATGAAGAGTTCTACACCGGCTGGGGTGGGAGATGAGGGACAGATGGGTGCGATCAGTTCACAATCTGGGAATTTACGGCTACGTCAGGCGGTGCCACAGCCAGGGGGGTTCAGGAAGGTGGTGGAGCCGAGGGAACATCAGCTTGCCAGGACGATTGTAAATGACTGTCTTGAAAAAGGGCAGGATAGCGTCGACTTGAGGTGAGATTATCCCTGATTGAGTGGTGTGAAACTGCGCTAACTCTTGCAGCAATGGCAATCTGAGAGCGCTTCCGTCTGGCTTGCTGCTTCCTCTTCGATATCTCACCAAGTTGCCCTCAGTCAGAGAGCCTCCAATATCGGAAGAGGGCTACAGCTCCTTGAAACCGTTTCTCCGTCTGTTCCTGGCTGGCAATGCGCTTACTGCAGTTTCGGGAGAAATATTCGAACTCGACTCACTCAGAGTTCTCAGCTTGCGGAACAACAAGCTGACAGAGATTCCTCCCGCTATAAGAAAGCTGACAATGCTGCAAGAGGTCAACCTTGCGGTCAATCGACTGCGATGTCTTCCTTGGGAATTACTATGGTTGATCAAGAAGGGTGACCTGAAACATCTGATGGTCCGACCCAACCCCCTCCTTCAGGTCAATGAGGTAGAAGTTACAAGGTGGTACTCTCCCGATGGTAGCGATGCAGCATCACCGGAGGAAGCGTTGAAATCGTGCCATTATGAAGGCCCCGCACCTGAGGAAGCATGGGCCCCAATCCATGTCGCGATCAGCCCCGTCCGACGGTTCAACATGGAGGGTATTCCCACAACGGATGGCCCAAGCAGCAACTTGCAGTTGAGATCATCGGATGATGCACCGTCTCACGTGCCCTCGCTGCGTGAGATATCTCTCCTGGCTTTCAGCCAGTCGGTCTATTGCGATCAGATATCCGAGTCCGAAATGATCGGCTATCCGGAACTAATGGTTCGCCTCCTTCGACAGGCTAAGGGTGTCAGAAATGCTGGCGGTAGGAGCTGCTCGATATGTCACCGGAGCTTCGTAATTGCTCGCACCGAATGGATTGAATGGTGGGACTGCAGTACCTATGAGAACGGGCTCAAGAGACCTCGATGTCCTGGGGAGCAATTACGTCCCTTGCCGTTTCGAAGATTTGGTTGCAGTTGGGCATGCGTTCCTGAAGCCGAAGACGCAATGCTCCAAGCTCAAACTGGTCAGCAACAAGGCTGATAGGATCATTATTGGAGGTTAGCGTGGGAATGTGCATTTGTGATTCTAAGCGTTTGTCGATAGACTGTATCATGTGTGCTGTACATATGCTGGTGTATATTCGCCATCTTGCCTTGATCGCTCGTGAGCTCAAGAGGATGTCTGTATGATTAGCTCTGCAGGTTTTCATGGAGAGGCATTTACCTAGTATCACTCTGTTCTGATTTACTGTATCAGACCCCTCACCTCACTGTGGTTTTTATAGCTTGACGTACTCGTCAGTCTAGGGTTTCATATCCATAACCATAGCGGTATCATATGCCAACATATCCGATCAGACAGGGAAGAACCTCCGTAGTGTCGATAGCAGCTAAAGATTACGGACTATGGAGTACTGGTATCACAATATGCAGAAGGGTTTGTATGTTGAATCTATAATCTATGAGTGCATTCCAAGTAATATAGCGGTCTGCCCTTGAGCTGCGTGGACCACATCAAGAATATGAAAATTGAGGGGAAAAGGATGACAAGTACTGCAATTACAACACATATAGACTATCAACTGCACTATGCAAGAGAGGATAAACTAAGTAAGTGCTCTTTGGATTGTAGCACTACCTATATAAGTTAAGTGAAGATATCCACAGTGGGGGACATGGGAGTTCGGACCAGAGAGAAGGGTAAGTCATCAGCCTTAAGTTTAACCTTGGGTGATCTGTTCAACTAACTGCCAATAACCATACTTTCCAGGGCTTCTTGAATGGTCCAAACCTGGGAATATCAGAATTATCCTCAGGTTCTCGACACACTGGGCCGCGAAAACTTAGTCTAAAGACGATAGTTAGGATACGGGAGGAAGATAAAAGCCAATACACACTGGGGAGAATCATATCGATGATAGGAGAAGCTCGTCACATGTTGAATGTCGATATAGGCGTCTGAATTTGTTGGCCCTGAGGTATCTCTTCGTACCCGCATAAGAAGTACCTAAAGAGGAAATTGTTGCGGCGGATGGTATTGTAGCCCTAATTCGAGCTCTTGGCTCGCTCCTAAGGTTGGGCAGACATGATGCTGATAGCTTCCTGAGACGCCATAACTAACTTGATATGGGCCCGTGTGATGAAAGTGTTGATTTTCACAAAATGCATCTGGAGATGATTATAAATATGAGTGAGTGTCTGGTGTAGAAAACAGAATCATCCGCTCAAAGAACCAAAGCTCTACTAACGTCGAAAGTCAAATAGGAAAAATCGCGGAAATGTTTGCCCTCGCCATATTCTTATGAGTGATTTCCCTCAACATACTCATCTATATGACCTACAGGTAGATTATGACTGAACTACATCCAATTTCTTCCTGAACCTCAACTCGGTCAAATCCTCCGGCTGGCACACCATCACGCGACAACCTTTGATGTCCGGGCGGGCCAAGATCTGCTCGTACGCAACAGCAAACTTGGACGCCTTCATCGCCCCGAACTGGTCCGCTGCAGCATCTACCATCACGAACAAGCCGAGATAGATCTCGTTGAAGCGGACATTCGTATCCGCGTTGTCGAGGCATGCCGCGTTCGCCATGGAGTATAGCGCGCCCTGTGTCATACTGGCTGCTGCGCGACCCCCGTTGTCTCCGCTTGCGCCTGTACACAGCGTCCAGGTGCTTGTAGGGTCACCCTGCTCGAGAAGATAGGGGATGGTCGCTTGATAGGCGACTGTCGACACGTATCAGTACTTTCCATATCTGTGAGACTGCTAGGACATGGCCACAAACTCACAAAGGTTTGGCTCAAAATTGACCTGCATATGCTTCCGTAACTCCTCCGTGGTGAGATCAAGTATCGACGTCGTTTCGAACAATCCGCCAGCTGCCCCATGACACCAATCACGCTTCTTGTCAACCAAAACACTTGTCATATTCACACTCCGACGGAAGTACAGACTCACCTGCGGCATAAACATGCTGAAACGTCGGCAACTCCCCCTTCCGCACTTTCTCCACCACATCCTTCACTCCCCGATCAGACATGATGTCCGCCTCTACCGTCGTGATGCCCTCGCGAGTTCCTACATTGCGGAACAGCTTCTCTGCCGAAGCCTGGTTGCGCACGATGGCAAGGACGTGGAGTTTGGAGCGCAGAGCGGCGTGGATGGCCGAGGCGCCGATATTGCCTGTGGCGCCGACGATCAGGACTGTCTGCATTTAGTTTGTGGTGGTGGTGATGATCGCTAAGGTATGTTGGGAGTCAGCGCGATGTTAGTGCGTGCTTCAGCATTTAGAACACGGAAAGATAGGTTCGTCAGACATATATAGGGCATTTCTAGGCAGCAATCTGTCGCCGTTATGTTCTTCCTACAACCCCACTGCTATCTCTCTCACCCAGTCGTTGTCGTGTCTGCATCCTCAAGAGGTAATGCTCGCATGGCGTTCGCGAAGCTCGGACTCCGAACTAAAACCGGGTATGAAAGAACCGCTTATCTCCGTGCTTACCACAGTTCTTGGGAGCCCTCATCAGAGGTAAGATTCGAGTTTCATTAGATAATCCCACAGTTCTTGTTTCAGAAGCGTTCATTCCGCTTCTGCTTCAATCCCACCGTCAAGTCTCGTTAAGACATCAAGCGCACTGCGCTCGCTAAGCTTGCATCCAATCCGCAGAGTGGGCACAGTACTCCAGTGTGGGATGAATACCGCATGAGCAAAGTTTCGTTGCATATGTGTGTCGTGCCAACCTCAAGCAATTTGAGATATCATTTGATTGGACACCATGTCTTGCATCTCCTACATCGTCAACATGAAATAAAGCTATATTTTCTCTAATCCCATAAGATTCACGTTGAGTTCTGAGGAGTATCTATCCACCAAAGCTGCATAATCGTACTCGGTGCTCACAGCTGCTATCACCCGGGGTGGGAATCTGATCTTGTGCATGGCGCAGAAGTGGGTAACTGAAATGCTACAAACTTGTATAAATGATTGAAAGCCATCTGTATACTGAATTCGATAGATATTATTCGTCATGTACCAACGCAGCCCCAAGTCCATCTTAGACCCAATCCTACTGCATAGCCTTCTCCATATCCGCAGCCCACAGCGCCGCACCCACCGTATTCGTAAACGAGAACACCAACGAGGCAAACGGAATCATCTCGAACAGAAACGCAGCCATTCCAAGTCTGCTCTCAGTTAGCAATCCCATAAGCACAGCACAAAACCAAAGGTGAATCATACCCGGTATACCCTCCCTGGTTCTTCCTTACCCACTCCTCTCTCTTCCGCTCATCCCACCCCTTCAACTCAAAATACCTCAAATGCGCCACCGGTCCAGTCTTCTTCCCCTGCATATACACATACAACAGCGTCCCCACGACCGGAATGAAATTCAACGGCAGCAGCATCAGCGACCTCACCAGCGCCGATGGCCTCATCCGCTCCAGCGGCCGGTTCAGCATCCTCCCCAGTCTCGACACCGCTCCACCGCCAGAGGCATTGATCTGGCGCCCGCGTGCGACCAGCTCCGTGTGTCCGCGTGCGACGAGAGTGCCGTCAAAGGTATCCGTCAGCGCGTCCGCAAGGACAAACGAGCGCGCGAGAAAATTGGTGATGGTCGAGCTTTCGCTGAGGACGAGCAGGGCGGCGGAGATCGGGGCCAGCGGGCCACTGGTGAAGGTCATGATGGCTGCTTGCGGGACGTAGGTGAAGAAGAACATGGCGGTTGTGACGCCGAGGCCGAGACCGATGGTCTGGACGGCGCGAGAGATGAAGGGGCGCCAGAGGTCTTTGTGGTAGGAGAAGAAGAGAATGCCCTGCATCATATGTCAGACGAACAGTTATTCAGAGTGCTGTCGGGCTTCTGAGCTCACTTTCACTGGGTAGAGATACGCGCCTGACACGGCGACGTCGTGGGCAACGGCTTTGAAATTGTCTTCCTCTTCGTGGAGGGCGTCTTTCATTTTATCCGCCATTGTTTATTGAGTCTCGCAATGCGACTGATAGTTGTGATCCCAGTGTAGCCTCAGTATGGAGAAGAACTGTCAATTGGGTGTGGTGCGGTTGGACTGAAGAGTATCGTCGAAACAAATAAGGACGGACGCAGCGATGACGTCATGTGGTATCACCAACTAGGCCGTAGATTTCCTTGTCATACATGGTAAGGTGTCTTCTGAACAATTTTGACTTGTAGGTAATCTGTCTATAATGCAAAAGCCTGTGTATACAGATACCTAATAACCAAGGTTTGATAAGATAAGAATCCGTCCAGTCACCCTGCCTAGCCAATTGTGTTAGTTGTCATGGACCGAGCCTGCACTCCAAGTAGACAACGCCCCCAACGCCTAGCCAAGCTTATTACTCAATACCAAATGTTCGCTAATGCAGTACATCCCAAGTGTCTCGAAGTGAAGGGAATATCGTGATGAACAAAGACGCTAGAGTAGAGAGAAAAGCAGATAATAGGGCTGCCCCCTCTTCATCGGTCGTTATCCGCCCGAGTCTGATGCCAAATGGTCTCGCCACTCAAGGCTGAAAGGCTAAGCGTTGCCAGATTCCTCCAACTGGAAGACGGAGGCGCAGAGGATGCATGGCCTTCTAGTGCCCCCAAATCTGAGCCTCGGTGGTGTTCAAGGTCGGAGGTCTCTTCCTCACTCGAGTTCGTAATGAGCATAGGGGCGGATGAAACGATTCGATGGGATTCGGAGCCACGACCATCATCACCATCGGCCATTCGCCGTGGCAAGTCGCGTGATTCTGTAGTTGTGTTTTGAGTCACGGAGCGAACGACGTCTCCCTTACAGATCGGGCAAGTCCGCCGACGGGTCGTCAGCCATGGAGTTCTGCGCCTAAGTTAGCAGACTGTAGAAATACGAAACCGGCAGACAGAGCTACTTACATGCACTCCGCATGGAACTCATGGCCGCAGGGTAGGCTCATCACTCTGCTTTGCCCATCGATGTATTCTTCAAGACATACAACGCATTCCACCTGTCGTCCAGTGTACTTGCGCCGCCAAACAGAGGAGGCCGAACCAGACTTCTCGCCTTTTGCCGGGTCCATCTTCCGAGTCTTCTTGGCTTCAGATGTACTGCTACGGAAGAAGGAAGAGCGTGACGGGGTCAGCTCCGGACGACTCCGAGAGCCTAGCAACGGGGAGGTTGGCGAGACTGGTCCGGGACTCGAAGATCGAGAGGAACTTGCTGCAGACGAAGGCGTTGCGATTGTGTGGTAGGTCCTCACCGGAAGGCGGTCCACGATGGACTTCGGAGCCCGCCAACGCCTCCGACGGATGCGAGATCGAATCAATAGGAGAGCATACACGACCGTCAAAGTGAGCAGAGGACTGACAACTAGAACAAGCAGGGTATCGAAGAAGGGGCTTGTAGACATGCTTGCTGGTGTCAACGTAACCCACAGGCCCGCATGTTCGGTAACCTTGGCATTCTGATCGGTATTTCCGCGCATCTTGTTGTTTGCTGCTTTATCCAACTTGGCATCCTCTGTACGTCTAGGCGCAAAGAAGCGTTTGAAAAACCAACCCTTGTCTGATGCAGTGTTTCCAGGAGAATTTACTGGAGAGCCGTCACGCGAATGGGATTCTTTGTTGTCGCTGGATTTATCGATGCTCCGATATTCACCGCTTCCTGGAGTGATGCTACCGCCCTTCGGTGAATTAGAGGTCTTCTTTGAGCTCTTTGCATTTTTGCCCGACTCAGTCTTAGCCGAGCTTGCAACGCTACTTGGCGACGGCAGAGAGGTGCTTCTGGGCGCTACAAGGTCTGGATCTCGCCAGTCCTGCACACCAATGATGAAGCCATCGCCGTCGGCAAGGCTCGACACGCTTTCGGAATTTTTGCGATCATCAGCAGCACTGTTGTGTGCAACTTTATTATTCGATTGTTGCTTATCACCCAGCCGAACCCAGTCAATGTTTCCGCTGTTAGGTGGCCGTCGACTGTCTTCAAAATTTTGCCAAGCGCGTCCATTGTTGCTCCTACCCAAACCTAGTAGTGACAGGAGAGAGTGGAAAACTCCAGTTTTCGGTTTTGGGGCAGTCTGAAGCGGCTCATCTACCGCAGCCTGGGGCGTAGGCGTGGAAGACGGGGTAACCGATGTGGTTGTTGTTGGACTCACACGCTGCTTGTCCGGACCGCCGGAGAGTACAGTGCGAGTAGATCCGGTTTTGTCGTCCAAACTTAAATCTGCTCCGGCCTGCGGAGGCATCAGAGATGATAGCAAGTGTGCTGTCGTGTAAGACGTGAAAACGGCGGGTATAGTCACATTGGACGTGTCCCCTCGAGCATACATCGTCACGAGACTTCCCCCTCGCGTATCATCACCAACAATCACGGCGATCGCTCCGCGTCGTTGAGCCCATTTGACCTTTTCCAGAAAACCACAGCCGCCTCTGCTTAGCAACACAACTTTGCCATTTATCTCGGCGCTCTCCTGCAAGGATTGTATATCTGCATGGGCAGCCGGCTTATTTTGGCGTTCTCCAGGTTTTTCCGGCGCACCTGCATCTACCACATCCGAATCAGGTAAAGGGTGATGGAGATGGTCATCGGTGCCGTCATTCGTCGAGGGTGGAGAGGCTCCGCCAGCCGCAAGATGTTCGGATTCTGATTCTTGCTGGGGATCAGCCCGACGTTGACCTAAAGAGGCCGCAAGACCATCCTTAATACCAGATGAAGAGGTCTTGTCTGCAGCTACCGTTGACTTATCCGGACTGCGACGGCTGTCACTATCCCCCCATCCTGGGATATCCGAACAGCCTAACTCTCCTTCCGCGCCACCACTAGTTTTCTCCCCAAAACCACTGCCCACCCAGAGTGGGCCACTCAGTCCCTTATCAGAAAGTAGAGGGCCAAATGCTGCAGGTCTGGCCAGGAAAAAAGTCGAGTTGTCATCGGTAAGGCTGATAATAGCGGATGGTGGGAAAAGCGAGGATGGTATATTGAAGGAGAAGAGAGCGTGAAATCCAGTCGTTTGACCAGCGAGCGAACTGGGATCAGCCACACGAGGAGATGACGAAAGAGCCGAGAACAGGGTAAGGAAGATCGGGAAGAAGAGGATACAGAAGACTATAGATATTAGGCGTGGCGGTCGCATGGTTGATGATTTTTGGGGAACAAGAAATCCAGATATGGTCCTGCCAGGGAGATTGAAATTGATCGAAAATCGTGATTCAGGTGCAGATGTCCTCTTGTAGG